CCCACGCCGTCGTGCGGGTTGCGCGCTGAAAAGTTGGTGCGCAGACCGAGCGGCTCGGCGGGCTGCGGCGCTCGGCGGTCACCGCTTGGGCCCGTGCTAGTCGACGAGACAGACCCGGGCGTGGCATGCAAGATATGGTGCCCGATGGGCGCCGGCGACGGCTCGGTATGCGATGTCTCGTTGCCGTAGTAGAGGTAGATGCCTTTTCCGGGCATGGTGCAGGTTCGAATCGAAATGGGCAATGAGCCATCAGCTGCTACGTACGCACGAGGCTACTCGAAACGAAAGCAGAGGCGATGGGAAGAAATGTCATGTGCTCTTGTCGTCACTGGAACAGCAGGAGGAGGTTGCCTCGCCGACCAGCTCTTGAACTGAGAATACGACGCTGCTGTCCCGAGACAGAACGAGGGGCGGCAACAGCTTGCGGACGTTTCCGCAACGGAAAATAGGTTTCACTTGATTTCGCAAGCACAGGGCGGCTCACCTGGTCGGTGGCTTGCCTGTCTTGTCTGATCACGACGTGACACCTGCTCAAATTACCCGGGAGGTCCCCACCGGACGCTTCCAGCAGCTCTTCCAGCCCCATTGGCTCTGGCTCGGAGGAAACCACCTGGGTTGGTCTTGCCTCGGAAACACATGTTTTGCTTCAACGAACGACACACGCGAAAGATCGGCAGTGCGTACTGACCACCTTCTTCTTCTTTTTCGCCGAGTGCATTTCGTCTTACCGGCTTACCGCACAGGATACAGGCCAGTTTTTGAGGGAAACGCGGTAGAAGACGTGTGCGAATCGGTTTGTGACCAAAAGCGCTTGGCGACGACGAGATTACCCATCGACGCATACCCGTGGTAGGAAGAGCAAACTTCGCAGCGTCATTGCGAATATGTCGTCTCGTGTCGTGAGAGCTACACTATTACATGCTACCCAAGCAGCGTCGGCATTGCTTTTCATTTGCTCAGCCGTGCGTGCACGCAGCACGTTGCGCTTTTATGGATCCTGGAGATACCAGCAAATATTGATGGCTCAATGCGTTCTCTCGTCGATTGCGATGACCTACTTGTACCCAAGCGACACAAATGCATGGGTTGAAGGAGCTATTGAAGGACGTTATGGGCTGCCGCCGCAGAGAGTCCACGACAGAGGGTCTTCTGTGCCCCGTTTTTTCGACGACGACGAACCCGCTTGCACCGCTCGTGGAAGACGATCGGCCTCACGATTCAGATCTTTCATGATGCTACACTGCACTGTACCGTGTACCGGTCACCCCGTTTGCCAGCTGCTTGGACCAAAGATACAACAATATCCAAGTCGGCGAATTTCGATTCCCACCATTCCGTTTACACCGCGTGGTTCTATCGCTGCAGCTCTCGCATGGCCACCATCTACACAGCGCTTTCCGAGCCGATAGTCAACGCACCGGTGGCAACGGTGGCTTTGGCGCTATTGACGAACCATGTCCATGCCAACGACACCTCGAAGCGCGCAGTTGCCACCGAAGGCGCACGAGAGACGGGCTACTCAAGAGCTCGTCGTATTCGGCACCTCATCGGGATGTCCGTCGCGACGTGGCACCATTGAGCGTCCTTTTGCTCAGCACTCTACCACGCTCCTGCACGTATCTCATGCCTCGCACGTTCCCATAACAACCAGTGACCGCAACGCAACCAGCTTTGCTTCACGAGCACAAGAAATTCCTCCACTACTGATAAATTTCAGTTGCAGCTCCATTTAGCAACAACACCGCATCGGGTACCAACGCCTTGCACGATCCACCGGGTCGGTTGGCCGTCACTCGCATTGTCGATGCATACTGCGGACCATACCACCCTACCCCTACCTACCGGCACTCTTGTGGGAACTCGATGATGCGACACGACGGGATGCATCGGATGCTGACGAGGCTGGCGAGAGTCGGACACGTGCGATTTTGCCATGACTGACTCATGCACACAATAATGTGTACACGTCGTTCCTTTCCGTGCGCTATCGTTGCGTTGTGAGCCCTACCCCATCCAATTCGATGTAAAAGCACAAAAACACTGAAATTTGATTTAGTTTTATCTCTACACGCTGCACACCATCAAATACGACTTGGACGACAAGTAGACGTTGCATTCCGTCCACGCAATGGAGCGCAACTAGGTGCCGACCTGGATCACATGGGGCGCGGCGTCAGCATCTTCGGTCGAGCCACGGCCATCGTCGAACTGCGCCGCGAGGATCCGGGTGGCGACCATGTTGCCGTTGATGTTGGTCATGGTACTGATGCGATCAAAGAGAAAATCAATGGCCACAATGTACACGAACGCATGCGGCAGCGCCTCGTTCGGTAGCACCGTCTTCCACATCGTCATAAGCATGACAAGGCCAGCGTTGGGCACGGGTGCTGTCCCCATGGAGCCCAGCAGCGACACGAGGAAGAGCACAACGAGCTGCGGCGTTCCAAGCGAGTTGCCCGACGCAATCGCAAGAAACATGGTCATGAGCGGGTAGTACAAGCCCGCGGCGTTCGTGTTGACGGGCGTCCCGAGGCACATGATCAATTGGCCAAAGCCCGGTGAGACTTGACGCGTCTGATGGATGACCGTCATGGCAACCGGAAGCGTAGCCATTGACGACGAGCACCCGAACGCAAAGACGTAGGCCGGAAAGAGCTGCCGGAGGTAGTTGTACGGGTTGGTGCGCGTAAAAAGAAAGAGGAGAAGCGGTAGCGTCACCAAGACGTGGCACGCGACGCCACTCAGAAACGCAAGCGCGAGGTAGCCGGCTTGGGACACGAAGCTCGACGCGTTGGAATGGTAGCTCACGATCGGCGTCGCACGGAGCACAGCGTTGATGAGCGCGAGGAGCGCATTCCGACTTTGCCGAAGGAGGTTGAACAAATGGTTGCCAGCTGCGTCGCCGATGTGCGACTTGGCGACAGCGACGCCGAGCGGAAGTGCAAACATGATGATGCTCAAGAGCGACCCGTTGGCGAGCGAGCTAAAGATGTTGTCCGGCACCATCAAGTTGATGATCGAAGATCAAACGTGCTCCATGGCGACAACAGACACCAGGGCCACAACACCTCTGACAACACCTTACGCCTTGCGCTCCTATACTACGATGGGTTTGGGGGACAATTCCGTGCTGAGAGGGGCAAGATTCAAAATGGTCTCCCGCCACATTTTGCGGATCGGATCGGCAGGGCTCTACAAACGTGGATTTTTCGGCCTCTGATCCACACTAGTCCACGATTAAGCGAAAATGGCTTCCACGTTTTATTACACTTGATTAAACTATGCAAAAGTGCTCGGCGCTTTCAATTTCACCCTCACAGGAAATTAATTTCGCAATTTTCAAATCCCGTCCGTCCATCCACGGCGTCTCTCAATATATAAAGTAAGTAATTTGGGGTTGTCGGCGATTGTTTTTATGATTATTTTTCATTGGCAAACAACACAGCAAAAACAGCAAATGGACCACTGTCATAGGGCGACAGGTCGGCTTCATCATCCCGCCGCCCTAGTAATTCTGCGCGCGCCCTGTGGCACACATAGTAAGTCCATCGGGTAGTCTAGTGCCTCGTATATATGGCGCTGCCAAGCGTCGCGATCCTTCTCGTCGCCAACGTCGTCGCCGCCGCGCTGGCGCTACAACGACCTCGCGGTGGCGCGACTCGATGCTGTCGAGGCCGCCTGGGACGTCGATAACGCGGCCGTGCCCTTCCTTTGTTACGTCCTGCACTCGGTACATCGCGGCATAGTCGGTGCTCGCAGACCTTATCGTGCGCCCAGGGCGGCGCGCGCTCTTGCGCTACCGTGCATGCCGGTGCTGGAGCGCAATGGGCGATGCCTCCTGAAGTTCCATCGGCTTCGAGAAAAGACCTTGCAGGCTATTGCGGGCCTAGTATGCCGAAGCGACTGTATGGCCGCGCCGCCTCCCGCCGCATTGACGGGCGGTCGCATGCCATGGAGCTGGTCGGCCAGTCATTCATTTTTGCAGTTGTCAAGATCGGTAACGTAATCACTTCTTGCTTTGAGCTGCCAACCCATATCTTACATTTTCAAGCTCCTGATCGATTACGTAATCAGCTTATGATTCTATCTTGAATTGTGTATGTGAAAAAAACAAGCTGGAGCCATGGTGGGGCCACAAATATTCTCGAAAATATGGCAGCAAAAAAATCCACTATTATTAAGAATAATGACATGCTAAAACTGAGCGGGTGTCTGCGTCGACGTTCGTGGGTGTGGAACCGTGACTGCGTGAATCCACTAACATCACCGTATGAAGAAGGCCTCTTGAATTCACTTAACGAGTGCAAATGGAAGTGACAGCCGTATTACGTGAACCCGCGTTTGTCCTGCGCGTGACGACACGTCGTCTCATGTAAGCGAATAGCGTGTACATATGTCTTGATCCTGGGCGTCCGCTGACAAGCGATGCAAACTCCAGATCAGGTCGCATCAGCGATCCATAGGCCTTTACAAACGTCACTTGTGGATTTTCAATGGAGCAGCAACAAGGCATCTACCTCTACGTGGCCGAGTCGACACGGCTTCAAGACCGCCGGTCGCTGCACGGCACAGGGTCGTCGTCTTCGGCCAACACGACGTCGGGTGGTCGGCGTCCCCCGCCCCCGAGCCCACGGATGCCCGCAATGTCTTCACATCGCCGGCGCCGCGCACGTCATCGTCGTATTACATGCACGAGCTGCAGCCATCGACGCCCGAGACGCTTCGGCACCACAACGCACCGTCGGCCGACGTGATTCCCGACGAGCCCGAAAAAGCTATGATGCCCACGGCGGTGCAAGCCAGCTACGACTACCGCGCCAAAACGACCTTCATTGGGACGATCGCTGTCATCATTGGCGCCTTTGGTGGCATAGGTCTCGGCCTTCTTCTCTCCAGCTGGCGCATCAGCCTCGAAGCTGTTCTTTGGGTCTCGCTCCCCGGCAACCTCTACATCCGCGCGCTTCGGTGTCTCATCGTGCCCATGGTCTTTTGCACCATCTCCACCTCGATCGCAGAGATCGTGCTTCTCAAGAAAAAGTCAATTCTATCCCTTCGGACCGCCGGGACGTTCTTCCTCACGTCGTTTCTCTCAACCGTGCTCGGCATGGTCATCGCGCTCGCCTTCCATAGCCGCTTCATCGTGTACTGGCCCGACGACGGCGACGTATCGTCGCCGATCGTCGCTCTCCGCTGCGCCAACGGCCTGTTCCTTGGCGCGCAGAGCAACGGCACGGACGCAGGAGTGGCCTGCACTGCTGCCAACGCGACGGTGGCGTCGGCGCACTTTATCGCATCCGACGTCAACCACGCACTCGCGACGCGGGTCACCGCGCAAGCTGTGACGCTCACGGACCAAGTGGTTGGGATCATCAGCCTCATGGTGCCCGACAACATTTTCGAGGCGCTCGCCGACGGCTCGCTCCTCAGCATCATCATGTTTGCACTGCCCCTGGGCGTTGCGATTGCGCGGTCACACGCCGGTGAGGTGGAAACCAACGTGCTGCTCAACATTTTACGGCAAATGCGACATGCATTCTCACTCATGATCAGCGCTGTGCTACAAACGACGCCCTTTGCCGTCGTTTCTTTGATCGCCGGTGCCATCTCCACCTACAACACGTCCGGGTCGACAATCGTCTCGCAGGCCGGGTTTTTGATTCTGGCGTTCGTCACTGGCGTCGTGAGCCACACGCTGCTACTGATGCCGTTTTTGTTCTTCCTCTTTACGCGCGCCAACCCGTACAATTACATGAAGCAGCTCGTGCCCGCCTACATGTATGCATTTGGCTGCTCGTCGTCGATGGCGACCCTGCCCGTGGCCGTGGCTGTCGTGCACCAGACCGGCCAAGTCTCGCGCTCGATGGCGCAGCTCGTCATGTATCTCGGAACACCGGTCCACATGAACGCTGCGGGCGTGTACTATCCGCTCATGACGATCTTCCTTGCAGCCATGTCGGGCGCCAACGAGAAGATCGGAACGCCGCAGCTTGTCGTGCTCTTTTTCGTCTCGCTGATTGGCTCGATGGGCACGGCACCGGTGCCCAATGCAGCGATCGTGATGCTCATGACGGTCTGGAAGACGGTGCTACCGACGACGCCGCTGCCGTTATCGTTTGTGTACATTGTAGCCTGCGACTTTGTCTTTGATCGGCTCTCGACCATGACGAACGTGCACGGGAACATGTTTGTCACGCGGATCTTGGCCCAGCGCTACGACGACCCGGTCGAGGCGTGGTCGGACGAGACGAGCGAAGACGCCCGAACGCCAGTCCCAGGCGTCTAACTTGGTGGTCACTTTCTACTCGTCTTGCTTGTCGCGTCGTCTTATCATAACATTATCTAATGCATGTCATACCTTTTCTTGCCAACGACATGCAGCCTGCATGCGCATGTACCATTCACGACGTTGGACAGTTCGATCGATGGATCGATGGATAGATAGATACTAGTAGGTAGATAGAATTATGGTGGTGAAGGCACAAACAATACCCTAACCCTTCTCGGAGAAGAAGAAAAGACCGCAAGCTACATGTGACTCCACACGAATTTCACGTCGCTCTGCTACTCGAAGGTAATACTAATGCGACCCCACTACCTCTGCCTTAATGTCCACATTGTTTTTAGTGAAGTATTTGATGCATGGACCAGTTGAATCGAAGTGAATATACAAACGACACGGTGACGATACGAACTTATATATATGAACGTGTTTCGCGTTATCTTGGCTTTTACAAAGAGTTCGCATACGTAGACAAAAACTTGGCAAAAAGATAACACTACATTACTTAGGGTCTAGGCAGTGCGCGGTACTGGTTGTTTCTTGTCGACGGCGCCCCCTTCAAGCAGCCGCAGCACCCACGTGTCAACGACGGCTCTTCGCCTCGTTCTTGCTTGGACGCGAACGCATTAAAGATGTCTTCGAGCGAAGTCTGCGAGACCGCGTACTCTTGAACGTAAAACGTTGTTTGGCCGCCTCGACGATGCTGAACGCGACCGAGAGCGTCGTGCGGAGCTTGAACTGCACGAGCGCCGGCTCGCGGAAGACGACGTCGATCGCACCGTTTGTGGCCACATGCAGGTGCTGGGCGATCGCGTCAAACATATCTTCGCCGATCCACTGCGAGCAGAAAGATGCAACGTCGACCGCGCCCTCGGTGTTGGCCAAGTGGGCGACGAAGAAGCCCGAGGCGTGGTCGGACACCAAAAGCGATGCGCGCGACGGCTTGCGAAGACGGCCGCACCAGTGGATCACGTCATTCATGCTGAGCGTGGACGGCAGCGTGGCGGCCATTGCTTCGAGCGCCGTTGATTAGTGCACTCTTGGCACCTGGATGTGGTTAGGGTGGTACCGCCTTGATGCCGCGCTTGCCCTGCCGTGTCCAGTTGGTCGAGGCCCCAGCAAATTCGACCCGTTCGGTATTAGTAGACATGGCATCGAGAGTTGGCACACCGAAATGCGCGCTCCACACTGTCGGGCGTGCCCGCAATCGCCGTGTTTTCCGCCCCGAAGAGGCAAAAAATCTTACTCCATCTCCAGCCACAGCTCAACACCAAGCGATATATATGAATAGAGAGCGCCCTGAGCCAAGTCAAATGGCTCTGTGACCCATGACATTATTCCGGCGTGCGCCATCTTTATACCCCGCATCCTCAACGACTGCATCTCCGCACTGCCGTTCAGTTGCAACACGTTTCAAGTCGGAGCCGACAGTCATTCTCTATTCAGAGAACTACAGACCAGTAAAGAATAACCAAATGGACTCACTATAACGTCAACCCCGAGAATTATACGCCAGGGTCCTGTACACGGTTCGAGCGGACTAGAATGTGACGCTGAAAGATTAGACGCTGGAAGATTAGAACGGTTAATGTTCCAAACCGTGTGGACATCGACCCGCGATCGCATCACAGAACACGCGGCTTGTACGATGAGCTGGCGCGGCGTCCACCCAAATAATTGATGCCTCTAAAAGAATACGACCCTTCTAGCATGAGAAGTGTTTATCAACCTGGTCGTCTTGTTGGAAAATTGGAACGAATACGTGACGCAACACTATCGGTTAAACCTTCGATGCTATGGCCTAGTCTTCGACGAATCCTTCTTCACGGAAACGCGCATTGGGAAAATGGCAACGCGAGGTGTGGTGCTTTTTTGAAGGCGAAGCGCCGCGGGAGTCAAACGCACCGACGTTCAGCAGCAGCAGCAGCGCCACTGCCACCAACCTCAACCAGAACCCAACGGCAGGTGGCGCCCGCCGCTGGCCTTCTCTACGACGCTGCCGCCGCGCCGCAATCGACCCACAAGTCGTCTATTCATGTCCTCTGGCCGATCCTACGCGCTTGCGTCTGGTATTGGCTTTGGCTCGAACGCAACAACCGTGTCATCCGCACGACGCGGTTGCCAAGGACGTGAAATGTTTCAACCGGTGGCGGTGGAAGACCGACGACGGGAGTTGCATCTGTATTGGCGCAAAAACGTGCCAGGTCACGTGGACGTAGGGACAGCGCATCGAATGATGGTCGTACTTTCGATGGCTTGCGCATCGCAGGGAAGGCAGTAGCGAACATCGTGGTCGAGAAAGTGCAAGCTGGAGATCGGACGGCCACGGCTTTCAGCGCTACCCAGTACACGAATTCATTGTACCGCGGAAGGGCGTGGGCTGGCTGCCGTAGAGGTACAAATAAGGCCGCTCGGCCCGGTTGCTCGTAGAAGGTCTCGGGGACGCCAATGTGTTGCACTGGAAGCACACGCCAGTCAAATTTCGGTCGCTGTCGATAGCCGGTCAGTCCGACGTCCATAGTGGCCGCTAGGACGACTCGGGGTCTGAACTTGACGAGCCATGGCGGGGCACTGGTTGGGCGCACGGCGAGATGAGCGGGAAGCATCGAACGAGAGCGGTCGCGAGCAGCCGGATCCAACGGCGGGTTGGCTGCAGCTCTGGAAAAGTTCTGGTAGTTGTTCTTCGAGGTCGGCGACCGTGTCTCCAAGGATTTGGAAGCTGTCTACGTGCGTGGAACATTGAGCGACGAGCGTCTCGATCGGCGAGTCGTGATCTTTCGCGAGCCACTTGAGCTTGCTTGACGCCGGACGATGTGCGTTATGCCTGAGTGGAAGACGATGAGACACGAGCGGAGCTGGGCAAGGCGAGCCATGCATGGTGTAGACGTGCGAGAACCATTCGATGAGATGGGCACGTGCGATTTTGCCATGACTGATTCATGCACAGAATAATGTGCCAAGTCGCCCTTTCCGTGCGCTATCGTTGCGTCGTGAGCCCTACCCCCATCCAATTCAATGTAAAAGAACAAAAACACTGAAAGTCGATTTCGTTTTATCTCTACACGCTGCACACCATCAAATACGACTTGGACGACAAGTAGACGTTGCATTCCGTCCACGCAATGGAGCGCAACTAGGCGCCGACCTGGATCAAATGGGGCGCGGCGTCAGCATCTTCGGTCGAGCCACGGCCATCGTCGAACTGCGCCGCGAGGATCCGGGTGGCGACCATGTTGCCGTTGATGTTGGTCATGGTACTGATGCGATCAAAGAGAAAATCAATGGCCACAATGTACACAAACGCATGCGGCAGGGCCTCGTTCGGTAGCACCGTCTTCCACACCGTCATAAGCATGACAAGGCCGGCGTTGGGCACGGGTGCTGTCCCCATGGAGCCCAGCAGCGACACGAGGAAGAGCACAACGAGCTGCGGCGTTCCAAGCGAGTTGCCCGACGCAATCGCAAGAAACATGGTCATGAGCGGGTAGTACAAGCCCGCGGCGTTCGTGTTGACGGGCGTTCCGAGGCACATGATCAATTGGCCAAAGCCCGGTGAGACTTGACGCGTCTGATGGATGACCGTCATGGCAACCGGAAGCGTAGCCATTGACGACGAGCACCCGAACGCAAAGACGTAGGCCGGAAAGAGCTGCCGGAGGTAGTTGTACGGGTTGGTGCGCGTAAAAAGGAAGAGGAGAAGCGGCAGTGTCACCAAGACGTGGCACGCGACGCCACTTAGAAACGCAAGCGCGAGGTAGCCGGCTTGGGACACGAAGCTCGACGCGTTGGAATGGTAGCTCACGATCGACGAGCTTACGAGGAAGAGGACGGCGATCGGCGTCGCACGGAGCACAGCGTTGATAAGCGAGAGGAGCGCATTCCGACTTTGCCGAAGGAGGTTAAACAAATGGTTGCCAGCTGCGTCGCCGATGTGGGACTTGGCGACAGCGACGCCGAGCGGAAGTGCGAACATGATGATGCTCAAGAGCGATCCGTTGGCGAGCGAGCTAAAGATGTTGTCCGGCACCATCAAGTTGATGATCGCAATCACTTGGTCGGTGAGCGAAAGTTGCTGGAACTTGCCTTGGATGTTGAGCACGTTGTTGATGTCGTTGATCTGGTACAAGGCGCTGGCGGCACTCGCGTTGGCCTCAAAGCATGCGACCGACCCGTTCTCGGCGGCGCCCAGAAAGAGCCCGTTGGCGCACTTGAGCCCGATGATCGCGATGCCGCTCGTTGCGTTCGAGGCGACAACGACCGAGCTCGGAGGGCTGTACATGGCGCGGAAAGCCAGCGCCACGACCATACCTTGGACGGCCGCGAGCGACGACGTGAGGAAGAAGACGACGACAGTCCGAAGCGTTAACACCGACGTCCGGTTGAGCATGATGACTTCGGCGATCGAGACCGTCATCGAGCAAAAGACCAATGGCACAACGAGGCACCGGAGCGCGCGCACAAAGAGGTTGCCGGGCAGTGCGATCCACTGCTGGACGTCGTCGCCGACCTCAAGCTTGGCTAGCAAGAGCCCCAGACCAATGCCGATGGCAGCACCGACGACGACTGCGATCGAGTTGACAAAGACAGAGCTCGAGCGCGAGTCAAAATTGCCGGCCG